AAAGCTAAAGAGGATAGAGAGAAACACTGTTAACTGATGATATATGGAGGAGATAATAATCAATGTAATGAAACAAGCTATATGAATGGTTGAATATGAAGCTGATGATGCACCCTGTAAACTTTCACTCAATCTAAAATAAAAACATTTAATTGTAAAAAAAAAATATATATATATATATCTGCATGTAAATCAAAGCATAACACTTATAAGTTCAAACCTTTCTAATGGCTTCCCATTATACTTATTATGGGAGCTCTTTACCACGGTCCATGAGACCCTGAGATCTACCCCAGCCTCTCATCTCTGTCTTCCTCACCTCAGACATGCTGGGTCTCCTGTTCGGTCAAGTGGTCCTCTGAGTCTATTTTTGTACCAGAACCTTTGCACTCACTATTCCCTCTGCCTCAAACACTCTTGTGCAGCTTCTTGTGTAGGTCTCAGCTCAGGTATCACCTCCTCAGCAGGATCTCCCTGACGCAATCTAAAATATACCCACCCACCCCCCTGCCAGGTACGCTGTGTAAAATAACCCGGCTTATTTTTTCACAATGCTTATTCTATCCCAAACTATCTACTAATTTGTTCACTTTGGTGTCTCCTGTCTCCCCAACTGGCCTGTGAGCTCCTGTTAACAGGGTGGTCTCAGGATTGAGCATGCAGGTACAGGGCAGGGTTCATCCCAGAAAGGTTTGTTTGAGGAATTAATCCTGAAACCCTATTAATATGGGGTACAGGGCCCATGAGGCTGAAGCTATAGAGCTGTACCTAGATGAGGAGGGTCTTTTTGTATGGTCACAGCAGAGGCTGGAGGCCAGGGCAACTCGCTTACCAGAGGCTCCAAATGCACCATGATGGCACAGTCACCAGAGGAAGGTTTAGTCTGTCTCTAGGGCAGAGGTCTGTTGGACCCTTCTGGTGTGGCTCTAATCTTGCTTTCTGTCTTAAGATCACAAAGCAGCACTGCTACTGTGGACAACTTGTCAACAAGGAAGGTTGGACTTGGTTGTCTTGCCCCAGCAGCCTAGGAGCAGCAGTCTTCAAGTGGCAGGGCTACTGCTCGTTGGTGAGCATCCCTTGTGTCAAGCATGTTCACTGGCATTCTCTCATTTGTTTCCTAACAGTAGAGAAAATCAAGGTCTGAGATGGTTTAATGACATATGCTTGGGGTTATAGGACTAGGAAGTGGCACTGCCAGCAAGACCAGCCTTGATAGCCCTTGCCCACTCCCTATTCCACAGCATGGAGCCTCGTGTCCTCTGCAGAGGTCTGGGGCTTGGGATCCCTGCATTCTTGTACTTTCTAAAGGTCACTTAGCTTCATGTAGTCTAAGTCACAAGTCTAGAAGTAGCCCCTGAAAAATACTAGAAGAATCCCCTAAAGACCAAGGGTAGTTCTAGAAGCCCAAAGGACAGAGGAGTGAAAGCATTGAGATATGAAGTCATCTCCTCATCTGGAAACTGTTAATTCACCCTGATGCTTTTTAAGACCAAGGCTGCATGGACTACATTTAGGCAGAGAGACATAGAAGCAATGATTTCTGTCCCTAAGGCCCAGTCAAAAGACTCCTTTAAAGGAATAAGCCACTGAGCCTAAGGTCTCAGGACCGTATTTTGGGGGGATACTAAGGCAGTTCAGGAGTCCTGGTGTGGCACTGTAGGTTAATGTGCCAGACTGCAAGGTTGGCAGTTCAAGCTCACCATCCGCTCCTTGGAAACCCTATACAGGATTGCTATGGGTAGGAATTGACTCGACAGCACTTAACAACAACAACAAGGTCAATTGGCTTAACACAATCCACAAAGATAATGTTCTACATCCTATTTTGGTTAGCAGTGACTACAGTCTTAAAAACTGGTGAGCAGCCACCTATCTGGAAAAAAGAAAATTGAAGAAAATCAAAGGTGCGTGGAAACGATTAGTCCAAAGGACTAACAGACCATGTGAACATCAGCTTCCATGACCCTGAGACCAGAAGAACTAGGTGTCCAGTTACTGCTTCCAACTACTCTAAAAGGGATCACATGGTCCTTGCTAGAGTGGGGAAAAAATGTTGAACAAAACTGAAAATCATTAAAAAAG